CTGCTGAAGGAGAGAAGGGCAAAGAGAACATCTTTATACAGAACCATTTAAAACCTAGACAGTAATTCTCTGCAACCACTATTTCAGATATCGGTTAAGAACTGACAAGTCAGTTTCTCCTACTATATGTTGCTGCAGTGAAATCAGAAGCCCGTGTTTCTGGCATCACGCTTTGTTAATGTTTAGATGAATGCAAAATTACAGGCCGAATTTATTGACTTCTCTGAAGAATCAGTTGGCAATGACAGATGGCCTAGGAGTGAGCTGGGGCATTGTCTAAGCATAAGATACCTTCAAAAACTGGAGCATCAGGTGCAAAAAAGTAGAAGTGATGGGCCTCACAAAGTAGTTCTAGCGCATCTGTAGGACTCTCCTATATGATAGTTCATCTTGAAAGAGACTTCTTTGAATTATTTAATTAATTCTCATCTTATTCCTGAAATTGTAAATATAGTCCTCTGAGTATTTAATATTTCTGATACTAGATGTTTTTATTCACCTTGTTGCACAGGTTGTATTTTCCATCATAGTAACAACATATTAATTCAATTGATTTCTAAGAGATATGGAAAAGAGTATAACATTTTATTTTCTGTGCCCCTCTTGGAAGCAGAAATAGAAGAGGATAAGCAAAACATTTTTGAAATGTCAAGGCTTTTACCACTAGGGGGTGTAAATAGTGTCAGCTAATTCTTTTAGAGTTAAAATGCATTTGTCAGGTTTTTTACAAATATATACATGTTTTATGAAAAATGCTGAAGAATTGCCTTTATGCTTCGTATTGAAAGTTTACAGGGCTTTTAAAATATTTTAATACAAAGCTAAATAAAAATACAAGAGAATATACAAAGACCTGATCTTTCCACCTTACTCATTGGCGTAGCCAAATGTGGATTTACAATGCCAGGATCCATATGTGGACCCATCAGCCCAGTTGCAGGTTTGACTGAGTTCAGGAAAGTGCTGCTGAGGCCAGCAGAAAGGGCCTTGGTAGTAGACCCTAATACAGAATAGACATTTAAAAGCAGGACTGGCTGAGGGAATAGGCAGGTGTTGCAAAGAGAGACTTCAATTTCTGAGTCAGCAATTTGTATCCAACACAGGATGACCGTGATGAGACATTATTGTCATCTAATGTCTATTCAGTCCAGTTCCTACTGGAGAACTGTCGTCTTTAAAAATCACTGTTGCAGTTGGCACTAGCTGGTTCTTTTGTTGCCATGACCAAGGGGACAACCTAAGGATTGACCAAGCCATAGAACTCAAATGCCAAGAGTTAGTCCTCCATATTTGTGATGAGGTCCATCGGCAAGGCAGTGTGAGAGGGGCACTCGGACTGCCTATCCCCACGTTACATCTGTTTTGTGACTAAAGAGACAGCGTCAGACTGTAGTGCTTTCAGTCTGGGCCCTTCTTGAGCATTTTTGATAATTGAGAGTTACTTGGTGGAAGAAGAAACGTAGTAGGCTAAATCCTGAGCTTCCTCCCTGTGTGTTCACTTTGGAATACAGATATCTGTGGCCAGGCAGAGACCCAAACTGGGTCTTGTGCAGCATCATTTTAAAAGTAAATTAACTTTTATAAAGGCTTTCATTTCAGTAACTTAAAGTCACAAAATGATGATGAGTAAAACTGAAAGCTTGGAGCAAGTCTGAGTTATGAGGCACATTGTCCAAGAAAGGCCTACACAGGGATATGGAATAGCACAGCATGCATTCTGGCACATAAAAAAGCCATTGCACCATCACACATGAGCAGAGAGGTACTTGCTGTGCACTATAGTTTCCAGATGCATAGGTGCAGGCATTTTGCAAGCACCGTTTGGATACCTATTTTTGAACCGCTGTCTGTCTTGGGAATAAGTCATGCATTGAATACTTTTGAAGTAAATTGCTTCCTTTTAATATAGCCCTGCATCAAGCTTCCTTTGGGTAGACCCCTGCCCCCAAATACAGATCCCTTGATCTTAGTGGGGCCCCTTAGAGGCTCAGGAGTCTGCCTTATTTGAGCTTGGTGACTGGGGCCTCGATTGGAAAAATACACAAGACAATCATAGAACAGTAATTGTGTAATGTCCATACCTGTATCCAGCACCTTCACAGTTTGCTTTAGAGTCTCTGATAACTGGATTACTGGATTCACTTACTTAAAAATGAACAAAAAGTCTTATCTGTACGCAACAGGCCTGTGATGATATGTTTAATTGATGTACCTACTTGTTCTGGGTCACTGACTAGAGTTGTGCAATTTAGATTCACTTCTTTTAGTATCCCCCAACTTATGTATTTATACTTTTTTTCCCTTAGCAGCCTGTCACCAATTAAACACACATGAACTTGTCCCGGCAGTTCAGTTCATTTTCTGGCCCTCATATCCTTTGAAGCCCCTTTATCATGGAAGCTTGTAGTGAAGATCTGAATTCTGGAATTCTACTTCCTGCAGCACGTATCAGCTGTCTACTTCAGATATGCAGAATTGATTTGTGCTCCCATGCTCTGTATGCCTGAATATTTTACTTATAAAATCTAGTTCATTGTACCTCAATTCCACTCCATTTTACAGGTATCATTATAGTTCAGTAAGAGACAGATTATTTGTAAAGTTTTATCTGTTTCAGTAAAAGGCATTCAAAGTAATTAATATCACACATATTTAGTATTTCTTACTTCCAGCGTAAACCTCACTTATGTGTCAGATGGCAGAATATTATCATTCAATCCTCGGTTTCACAATGTGTCACTATAACCCAACTTTCTCCTATTAATGGGAACTGGATAAATATTTCTGTGGTCAGGAGCTGGTTTACTGTCCACTTCAAAGCTTGTAGTATCAGGACAGGTTTGTTTTTTTTTCCTTATTGGCATTTAGCAACATGACTTGATTTTGCAGCAGGCTCTCAGTGTTGTGCTAATGGAGAAGCCATTCCCACTTTCCTGTTTGGAAAAGTATCTTCCTTGCTTATTGATGACTGTACTGATATTCTAGATACAGCTAACCTTATTAATAGCAATGAATATATATTATATACTGTATGCTGTAAATCTATGTTTCATTGACATGCAATGCTTCATAACACCAATACATTAAAAAAAGTAAAAGAAAACAAAAACCCTATTGGGATTTTACCAGCTCAGACTGAGGGAACAGTGCAGAACAGTAATAACTCTAGCTTAATCCCAGAGGTAATGTGTATGGGAATGCCATTTGATGCTCTTCCCAAACTTCCATAAATTCCTTATGTGACGAATAGTGCCTTAGGTTTACCAGAGGGATATTGATTTTCAGCCTTTTTGTACCATATTGCCAGCATTGCTCAGACATTTTTTCCCCAAAAGATGAAGAGAGCAGTTGAACAAAAGGAAGCAAAAAGGGTTATTGAGTAGGAAAAGCTGGCCTACTTTCCCAGTGGCCATTATCCTACCTATCCAAAAACAGAGCAGCCTACTGGGTATGTAAAGGTAGGATCCCTCCACAGAGGGAGGAAAAATGAGACTTAGCAAGTTATTCAGATACATCTTGTGGATTTAGGCAGCTTTGAATGATAAAAGTGGGACCTAGGCATTGTGCTGTCAGCACATTCTGTGGAGACTGATTAGAAGGCGATTTTTGTTTAATTAGTAGGTTCAGCTCTTTTCCCATCCTTTGTTTTGGGAGCACAGCACCCAGCAGGTTACTGAGCTGAAGTACAAGGCTAGCCTCACCCACTGGGAATGCAATTCACTGCTGTGCAGACCACATGAGGTCTCTGCACTACTGAAGTCCTGTAGGGTCTTTAGTGGGACATAGGCATTATGCTGTGCCCTTCCCTACAGGTAAGCTCGACCCCACTTGTGTGACACTAAGCAGTTCGCTTTCCTGCCTGAGCTCCATTTCCCCAGACACTATGTTCCCTCGCATTCTCAGTATCTACTATATCCATATGTTTATGGATATTTATAAAAGTGGCCACCCCTTAATGCATGCATAGCAAAAGGAAGTGTCATGCTCTTTCACTTTCACCGTTGTGCCTCTATCTTTACTCCCTTCCTTATCATCTCATCCACGTTCACCTTGCCTTGCTTGTGTCTCATTTAGATTGTAAGCTCCTCGAAGCAGGGAATTGATGCTTTTTGTTTGTCTGTAAAAAGTCATACACAACTATGGTGCTGTTTGAAATATAAATGACAATAAACACTAGAATCCATTCTGGAGAGTTACAAGTTTGATTTATTGTAAGTTGCTAGCAACAGTAAGGGTGACAGGTACCTGTGATACAGTCGAAAGAGATTGATAGGGGAAAGGTGGGGTGCTGACCTGGGGGATCTGCCTACTTGTGTACAGGCAGGGATTATTTGGGAATTTGATCCTGTTCTTCGCATGTTCCTGCAGATTGTTTGTTAGTAATTTCACATTACCTGTGTAACCATGAAACCATCCTTCACTGCCTCTTTTTTTCTCTCTGTTGTCTTTGATAGCCACGTTCCCCTTACCAATCCCCTCATCATCACTCCAGTCTGATCTCCTCTCCGAGCAACTTCGAGCACATCTATCACATGACTGTTAATTCAGCTGAAAAATTCCTCTCTTATGATTCCATAAACCCAGCCTGTCCCCCAGCTCTGCGCTCTGCCCCTGGCACCCCAGCCATTATGACTCCGAGGGTAGGAACGGCTCACTGTACTAACACAGTGTGGTTTTCCTCTTGCTTGGCTAATAACATGGAAGAAACAAGCCTCTGCAAGTGCTTTCCTTCTCTTCTGAACTCTCGTGTGTCCCAGCCAGTTCGTATCCGCCATTCTACCCTGGTGCTTTCCACAGCTGGTCACGTACCAAGGAGCAGAACTTCACAGCTTAAAAAATTAATGAAAAAAACTGTTGGCTTGAACCTCTTTCCTGTGAAAGTAATGTCATGTTTTTAATTGCCTAATGGGACATGGGAAATTAAATGGTAAAGGTTTACATCCTACAGCATGCCTCCTGCCGCAGTCAGCAGCAGGGGGGCTGCATTCTGGATAGCTGATAGGGCTGGGAAAAGGTTGACTAATAATAATGCACTTTCTTTGAATGCAAGTTTTGCAAGCACCCTTCAGAGAGTAAGAGAGAGTTTCCATGCCCGGCAGAGTTTACAGCCAAGCTTGAACAAGAAGGTAGACAAAGGGTGGGAACAGGGGCAAAACAATTAAAAATAATATGAGCTTTTTACACAGACAGCAAATCCCAAGAATACCAGGATGTTTAAGCTGAGGCTGAGATAAGAGGTGATTAAATCATTCTTTTTGGGCTGGAGACCACCTTTTTGTTCTGTTTGTGTGCACCCCCCCCCCCCCCCCCCGGGGGGCCCGGCC